ACAGGCCTGGGTTGAAGATGATTTCCCCTGACTGTGCAGAGCCATTGCCCCAAAAAGAATATGGGTCGCTCAACTATTTCAAGAGGTAGCATATGATCCAGGACTATTGGTCTTTAAGGAAGAAGTCCAAGATGCACAGGAAATATTCATGAAAAGCAAGCCTTCAAGAGTCGACAAAGGATCAACTGAAGTGTTTCAACAAATGGATGAAGCACTGAAAGCACCCAGGGGTCTATGCCAAGAAACTTGGAAGACAGCCACCTGGCCGAATGGAAAAGATCCATATCTGTGCCAGTTCTTAGGGTGACCCAGTGGAATGTGCAAAATATCAAACAATATCACTAACACCACATGTAAGTACAATTTTGCTGAAGATAATTAAAAAACAGTGGTAGCAGTACACCAGCATAGCTATCAGAAATGTAAGTGTCATTCAGGAGAGAGTATGGCACAAGGAATATCACTGCTGATGGCAAGTGGAGCTTGGCTGCAAGCTGAGGATACCGGGTGTTAGGTAAGGTTCTCTAGAGAAGCAAAACCAATGATGCTTACATGTGTATGTAAAGAAATAAATTTATATTAGGAAAATGGCTCACACAGTTGTGGAAGCAGCTAAATCCAGTCTGGTTCAGCGTGCTGGTCAGAGGCTAAATTTTTTCGAAACTGTAGTGCTGGAGATGATGAACTCAGAAGCAGGAGAACAAATCAGGGAGCAGGACCGCCACAGGTTGGAGGAGGCAGAGATGGAGGGATATGAGGTCAGCAGGTCAGGCTCATGGTTACATAGTTGAATGAATGCAACATTGTTAGGCAATCTTGGCTTAAGTCCAAAGAACTGGAAGTAGATGAGACAAATGCAGGATCCAGACCAGAAAGGAAGAAAAGCATCTATATGTGTGAAGTAGGCCACACCCCTGAGAAAGCCTCATCAGGTCTGTGTTTTGAAGGGGTTTGGTTGAACTCCACAGTAATCTTCCTCAGACTGGCTGGCTGCTCACAGCAGATCCCATCTTGAGGGTGGCCTCAACTGCCAGGCCACTGAGCCCCTGGCCTGGCCAAGTTCACACAAAACCTAGCTATTATAATTAGATAGATATTTACTTGTGTTTTATTGAGCATGCAAAGGCATTAAACTGTGGATCATAGCAAACTAGGGATAACATAGAAAAAAATAGGGATTCCTGAATATTTCACTGTGCTCATGTGGAAACTGTACCTGAACCAAGAGGCACTCTTTTGTACAGAATACCGAAATACTGTTTGGTTCAAATCAGGAAAGATGTGCCTCCGGGTTTGAGTTAGTGTATTGTGCCAACCTGGCCGATAAACAAATGTGGGGTTAATTGAAGGGCAGAGCCTCCGTGATCCTCGCCTTTCTAGTTCTCAGGGCTCTTGCTTTGTGATGGTCTGACCGGGGTGCAGCTGCCTTAGCCAGTTCCCTGCTTCAGCTGGCAAGGCTCACTTCTTGTGAGACATCCCTAAGGAGAAGTCTCATGGACCTACCCCGATGCAGCCCTGGGTGCTGGAGCAGCCATGTGGAGACCCCTGCCAGCGCTGAGATGCTTCCACATTCACTGACTTGGCTTTCCTCCTGCAGTCGGCATCATTGCATCTGTTTTGTGAGATGGAGGAGGACTTTGTGGATTGGTGTTGGACATAAGGGTTAATGTTGGACTTGTGGGCTTGGGCAGCACTGGGTTGGGATGTTTTCTTGATGCGCACTTACCCTTTAGATAAAACTCTCTTATACATGAGTTTCTGTGGATTTGTTTCTCTAACGTACCCAGACTAACACAGGGTTGTATCCTTTCACCATACTTATTCGATCTGTATGTTACGCAAATATTCCAAGAAGCTAGACTCTGCAGAAGAAGGCGGCATCAGAATTGGAGGAAAGCATACCAAGCACTTGTAGTAGGCAGAGGACACATCCTTGGTTGCAGAAAGTGAAGAGGGTTTGAAGCACTTGCTGATGAAAATTAAAGATGGCAGCCTTCAATATTGATTGCAACTCAATGTAAAGAAAACCAAAATTCTCACAATTGGAACAGTAGGCTCTCATAAGAAACAGGGAAGAAATTGGAGTTGTCAAGGGCGTCACTTTGTTTGGCTCCACCATTCTCAATGCTTATGAAAGTAGCAATCAAGAAATCTAACGCCTTATTGCATTGAGTAAATCTGCTGCTTAACACTTCTTCAAAGTGTTGAACAGCAAGGGTGCTCACTTGGAGGATTCACGTGTGCCCGACCCAAAGCCATGGTATTTTCAGCCACCTCCTATGCATGTGAAAGTTGGGCAGTCAAGGACAAACGAAGAGGGGTTGATGCCTTTGAATTGTGGTGTTGGGGAAGACGATTGAAATTACCGTGGGCCCCGGAACAATAAACATCCGTCTTGGAAGAAGGACAACCACAATGCTTCAGGGCATGCAGATGGCAAGACTTCAACTCATGTACGCTGGACGTGTTATCAGGAGAGCCCACTCCCTGAAAAGAACGTCATGCTTGGAGAGGTGGAAAGCTCTGTGACACAATAGCTGCAATATGGGGCACAAACAACAATTGTGAGGTCACACAGTCACAGGCAAGGCTTTGTTCTGTTGTAAATAGGTTGCTGTGAGTTGGAAGTAGCTTGACAGCACTAACAACAACAACAATTTTTATTTCGAGTTCTCAATCGAGGAGTATGTTTTAAATTTTACTTCTGCTTGAGTTTTAAAAATTTCTAGTCATATTTTCATAGATCCATAGTTATTGACTTCAGATTACTCGATTTTAGCTGATTTGACTCTCATAAACACCTAGCAGTGTTAAATAGTTAAATGGGATGGGAGTTTTTGAATTAGTGAGTTTTTAAAATTTTCCCCCTGTACAATCTACTGATAAACATGAAGTGACTGTTTCTAAAAAGGCTTAGGGATTGATTTTAGACAGTCATAAAACATCTTTTCACATAATTATGTATATGTGTGTATGCATATGTATTATTTTTTCCTTTTTCAGGACTAGCTTGTAGTTATAGATTCTCTGAAAATTTATATAGCACCACAATCAAGAATTGTATTTTGCTATCCCTTCCTACATGGTCTTTATTTTTTTGTTCACTTTTAATACATAAAATATAGCCTTTCTAAGCCCTTGGTTGCTGTTGGGGTCTTTGGACAAAGGTAATTTTATAATTCCAATGTATTACTTAAAATTGTACTAAATGAAATATTTTGTGGACAGTATGACATTTCTGCCATATCATTTAATAAGCATATCTTAACTAAGAACTGTAAGTCGTTTGCTGTTGCCAAGAAAAAGTTAACAGTCACGTGTCAAGGCATGATACAGGATGCTTGTCTTTTTCTATTCAGTGCTCATTTTCTCGGTTGTCGTTTGCCTCTGCTGATAGATTTTAAAGTGTGTGTAGGATGTTGCTATCAGTGCTTTCTTCCCTTAATCCCCAAATTTCATCCTATTTATCATCTTTGGTGTTTAGTTTTGCATTTTTATTCTTTAGGGTTTTAGTGCACACAGTTCATTTTCAGCTATTAGTCTTCAACTTTGACCATGAAAGACATGGCCAGCAACATTTAGTTTCTATTACATCCATTACTTCAAATGGAATTAGTAAGGCAAGCCTTACTAATGGTCATCATTGCCTTTGGGTGTAGTGTAGAAGCAAGTTAAAGATGAAAAACTGTGAGGCTCTTCTTGTTTGTTCACTATTGAAAGGAGCAATTTTCTATGTTTATTTAAGGGTTATTTAAAAAAAACACCCCCCCAACTTTTTATGGTGAATTACATGAAGATTTACTGAGCAGATCATCATTTTTATTTGCACTCAACAATTCATATACCCTTTGTTTTGTCTTAATCATTGGAATCTCATCAATATAACATCACTTATTGCACCTTCTCCCTGACGCTCCTGTTCCGTTCCTCCTTCCGCACCCTCCTGAACATTGTCTTTGGATGAATGCTGTCCTTTTGTCCTCAGTTGCTGGATTTTTCTAAGGCGCGCTTGCCTCACTGATGTCCCCCTGTCTATTATCCTTTGGGTGTAAATTGAGCCATAAAGTGAGTTCCGTTTCAGACTTGCCAAGTGACTAAAAGCCATAGTCTTGGAGGTTATGTCCGCCTCCATCCAATTAGTAATTCTGGTCACATTTAGGGATTAGAGTCTTTTTATTTTTGCACCTCAATTTGCCAAGCTTGCAAGGATTTTATTCCACCCTAGAATCTAAATATAAGCAAAGAATGAAATTCTCGAGCACAGGTTCCCAAATTTATTTTGGCTACCACTCCATTTTCAAGAAAAAAAAAATGCCTCCATGCAAGCCTGGCGATCAAAAGCTCTGCAGTCTAGCTCAGAACCCAGGCTCTCCTGGAGACTCCACCCCCAGGGCGGCATGGCCCACTCTGGGAAACATGCATGGTTCTAGACAGTGGAAGCTTCGGAGATTGTTTTTATTTTTCTGCAAGATGAGAACAAATTAGTAAGACAAAAATGCTGACCAAAAGGTCAGCAGTTTGAAACCACCAGCAGCTCCATGGGAGAAAAGTGAGGCTTTATACTCCGGTAAAGAGTTACAGTTATAGTCCGACCCTGTCCTATAGGGCTGCTATGAATCTGAATTGACTTGATGGCAGTGAATGCCTGTTATATAAAGCATTAATGTATTTTACAAGAGGACATTTTCTTATTCAAGTATAATATAAACTTGGACATGAGTGAAAAGTTTGACTTATAGTGGCCCTATGGGGCAGACCAGAAATATCCCATAGGATTTCCAAGGCTACTGGTGGTGTAGTGGTTCCTCATGGAACTGCGATCAGCAAGGTTAGAAGTTGGAAACCAGCAGCTGCTCCAAGTGAGAAAGAAGGGGCTTTCTCCACTCCTGGGCCCTTCTACCCTGCCCTGTAGGGTTGCTGTGAGTCATCAAGACTTGATGGCAGTGCTTTTTTTTTTTTAAGTTCTGTAATGAAGCAAACTACCACCTCATCTTTCTCCCATTGAGTACTTGGAGGATAGCTGCCAGAGGTTCTCTATTCTCTCATAAAAACAACAAACTGGCTGCCATCCAGTCAGTGCTGACTCATAGCGACTCCCTGTGGCTTTCCCAGACTGCAACTGTTGCCCAGTTGTTCTCCTGCAGCGCTGCTGATGGTTTCAAACTGCTGACATAGGGTGCTGTGTGGGTCATGGCCCCACGTGTAGCCATGACACCACTCTCAGAAGTCCTATGTCTTAGAAGAAATGGACTGACAATGGACACGAGTGAGCTATTCTTAAAGACTGACAAACCTCCACAAAATGTGAGTAGTGATGATTATCCGCCTGTGTTCAGTGTTTCTTTTGCCCCTTTTTTTGTATAATTGCAAATCCAGGAATTGCCATTCTGGTTATTACATGTATAGTTGACAGCAGGCCAATAAACCCCTAAGGATCCCGGGGTGTTAGTCGTGTGTCAGTTGCATCAGCGCTTTGTGAACATGCAGAGCTTCGCCTTTGAGCTGAGGGCCGACTCCAGCCACCATAGAGCAGCCTCACTTGTGACACTATCAGTGGGAACCTCATTAATGAACAAAGCACCATCAGGGCCTCTCCCCCAGCACCCTCCATCCCTGGGGATTTTGTGAGGTGGTGAGAAATTATTCCTTGGCATATAGCCAGAGCCATTTCATCACCTTGATTTTTACCCTAATATTTCAAAATGAGTAGTCCATATTTTCTGTAAAAAATTTCTTTTTAAAGGTATTTTTAAGGGGGGTTAGAGTGGATCATGGGAGATGATATGCAGTACTTTAGAATGACACATGGGTAATTCTTTCCACTTGGTTGCATAGTAAACTTGATTTAAAATGGAAGTACATAAATAAAAGAAACAGAGTTGGGTTATAAGACGTATGCAGTTTATAAGTGAATCCTGTTTTACAACACGATTAAGTCGAGGTTCCTTCAACTTGGGAGATTTCAATAAACAAGAAATTTTCCTGAATTTAAAGTAATTAGTGAATCATTTGATTTTATCTCTTTTTGTAATGAAATGTCTTCCATTTCCTCCCAATCAGTTACACTCACCCACCCCTCCCCACCCAAAAATACAAGTTAAAAAGCAACAGCAACCTGTAACTTAAAAACCCACTAGTTTTCAGGCTAGGACATTTGGGATTCA